AGCTTAGCCAGGACGCCCTCGAACCTCCTGGGAACAGTGAAAAGCGACACTAAATTGGGATGACTAACGGGTCGGCCTAAGGTTGAGCACCCGTGTGGGGGAGAAGATGGCAGAGGCCCCCAGAGACCTGCAGGCAACAGCCCCGGGACTTCAAGCTGAAGATGGTGGGGATCTGCTCAAAGTTGCACCCCTGCCACCTAGCCTCCAGGGATGGGGGTGGGGGTGTGTGTGCCTGGCTTGGGTGGTGGGATCAGAGAAGGAGCAGGTGCCCACTGTCTAGGGAAGATGTTCCTGGTGAATGTCATTGTGACCAATGGGTCACGGGTAAGAGAAACAGAAGATTGGGGAGAATGACAGTCTGGAGGGAAATGTCTGGAGGATGAAGGGATGGATCTTTTCGATGTTGGTTTCTTTTTTAAACTTAAAAAAAATGTTGGAGATTGAACCCAGCCCCTGAGTGATGGGGCATCACTAAGTCGCTGAGGCTGGCCTTGAACTTGTGATCCTCCTGCTTCAGCTTCCAGAATCACTAGGATTACAGGTGAGCACTACTACTTCCGGCTTCTTCTTGGTTTATTTATTTATTAGTTGTAGTTGGACACAATACCTTTATTTTATTTGTTTACTTTTATGTGGTGCTGAGGATGGAAACCAGGGCCTCCCACTTGCTAGGCGAGCACTCTACCGCCGAGCCACAACCTCAGTCTCCCCCTACCCCATTTCTTAATTTTTTCTTTTAGATCCACTGGGCTCCAAGAGACTTTGCTCCAAATGCTATTATTATTCTCCCAATTTCATAGTGGAAGAAATTGAGGCTGAGAAGAGGAGAACGTGGTGTGAGAGGGGCTGGAGGGGAGAGATGGGGTACTTAATGTCCCTGGGCTTACAGTCCTTAAGGGAGACAGAGGTTTTAGTGGGGAGTAGGAAACAGCTGTCGTGATGGACTGGTAACAGTTCAACAATTGGCAAACACAAACCTGATTTGTAGCATTTGCCAATTCCCATGGTGTAAGCGCTCCTACTGTGGTGGGTTTCAAGTGACTGACCTGATGTCACTGGATGTGAAATTGGAAGAAGATGTGCACAACTGGTTGCCGAGTGTCCCCACCTCCCAAATGCCACTGACTCACAAGTGCTGTGAATGTTCCCAGCCTGAGAGAAATATCAGAACAGACCCCACGGCTCCCCACCAACCCTGATCTCTGTTCAGTCCCTCTTCACCCTGAAATATGAACCAATGAACTGAAAGACCAAGGGACGGACAGAGAGATGGCAAAGTACCTCTGATTTGGTTAGCCTTAGGTTGAACATGTCTATTTCCCTTCTTGTGGACAGGATCTGTAACTTAGTGGTCTCTGCCCTCCTCCTAACTGAATGTTACCCTCAGCAGGAGGTTCTCTCTGGAGTGTGAGTGGCGGGAGCCTGGAGCTCAGGTGGGGTGAGATATCAGTGATGTTCTGAAATGTCCTGCCTCCTTTGTTCTTTGTTGGGTTGTTGTTGGGGTGCTGAGGGTTGAATCCAGGGACCCCTTACCACTTAGCTACACCCCCAGTCCTTTGTATTTACTTATTTATTTTTTTAGAGTGTCTTCCTGAATTTTCCAGGCTGGCCTCGAACTCGCTGTCCTCCTGCCTCAGCCTGTCCCGAAACCAGCCGCCTTGCAGCCTGTCCATCCCTTCCTACCTGGAGTCTTTTTATTTTTAAAGAATAAATTTGGGGGCTGGGGATGTGGCTCAAGCAGTAGCGCG